CACAAGAGGTATAATCAGGTAGGAAAATAGAAGTTTCCTTCATGCACAGTCGAAATATTAAAAGATGAAGATAGAGAGGAACTAAACGAGCAAGGAAGGACTTCACAAAACTACAATAGATAATTTATAGATAGCTAATAATGTAGATATATATATATATGGACACAGTTGCACATTATATTGGGGAAAAAGTCATTTTTCATAAATTACAAGCAGATCATAGCAATTAAAAAATAAAGAAATGAAAAGCTAAAGCTCCATTTAGTACATGAAAACATATATGGATTAATGATTAGAGAAAAAGAGGACAATTACAAGAGGTATAATCAGGTAGGAAGCCACAGAAATTTTGTTCATAGACAGTCAAATATTAAAAAGATGAAGATGGAGCACCAAACAAGCAAGGAACTTCAAGACAACAAAATAGATAATTTATAGATTGTGAATTGATAGATAAATGTATATGAACACAGTTACCCAATTGGCTCTTGACTGCTTACTAAAGTCGCACACCATAATATATGGAACAAACTTATTAAAAGAACTACAGGAAAAACATTTTTGCTATTAGTTTCATCATAGCTAAGTAATTTTTTTTTTGAGATAATTATCACGGCTAAGTCACAATATATGCATTCACGACACCTACAACACATTCTTCCTGTGTACCATGAAAAGAATTACCTGTAAGGCAGGAAAGAATGACGACTCAATTAATGCGGGCTTGTGGTAACCTATCCGAGGAGCAACATCACGTGTCATCCTAAAATAGGGATCCTGAATAATCGAAAGCAAGGAAAAATACATGAGGATGGAACTACCTAAAACAATGGGAACATAATTGGAATTATGTAAGTAAAGGACAAATGGAAGTCGAAAGAATAGTACAAAGTTACTGCCTCAAGATTAAAAGATGTATCAAGTTTTACTACCTCCAGCCTTAAAAAATATTGAGAGTGAAATAACAGTATAAACATGCACAGAACACATGGAAAAACCTAAAAGCCAAATCCTCAAAAGCGTCAAACACTTTCAAATGGTGAAGTCACAAGTCTATATCGTGCAATAATTGAAAAGAATAAAAAGATGATCACACGTCTAACAAGAAAAGAACTCATCTCCTGCTTCAAGATTAAAAGCGGCACCGAGTTACCAACTGCAGCCTCAAAACATTTTGAAAGGCTATTAATTTGATAGTATCAGCGTAACCATGCACAAGATACATAACATAGACATAAAGAAATTAAATCCTCAAAAGTGTCAAACACTTTTAAATGGTGAACAAACAAGTCTATATCATGCACTAGTTGAAAAGAATAAAAAATGTTGAAAAATGACACATCTACTGCTTCAAGATTAAAAGCAGTACCAAATTAACAACTCCAGCCTCAAAACATTTTGAAAGGCTATTAATTTTGTAGTATCATTATAACCATGCACAAGATATAAGACAGACAAAGAAACTCAAACCTGCAAAAGTACCAAGCCCTTTAACATAACAAATCTCAGAAACAAACATATATACAAATGGGAAGCCAGCCAAAAGGGAACAATGTAGTAGAAGTAAAATCAGTCTCTTCTAACAACACCACAAGCAACTATAAAATCAGGTAACTTTCAAAGAGGCATGTTGGAATTCACATTCTACTTTTTACTTTCAAAAGCAAGAACAAGGAAATTGCTTGCAGTTGTTTTAGACCACAGACATTAAAAAATGTTTTCAAGGACAGATTTGCATGTCAAAACAAATTCGAAGATTCATCTCTCATGATATCTGTCATGATAGCTACAAAGGTACTTTGATCACAGAACTTGCTTTTTTTGAATAAAAAATATAAAGATACTTTCATCGCAGAAGTTGCTTTTTTTTAATAAAAAATATAAGGATCACACAGACTCACTTGTTCTTGAAGAAAGAAAATAGTCATGGAAAACTGAAAACTAAGTGCTTAGATTCCCTCATCTTGCACCAAGGGTTCCTTTGGAAATAAATGGAAAACAATCAGCAACTTTAAGAGGAAAATATTAAACGTCTGCTCTTGCTTGGCATGACGTAACAACAATTATTGGCATGATGACATTTTGAAGAGAGTTCCATGCAAAATAATGTCCAAAACTGGATGCTCAACAACACATGAAACTTTATAGAATAGATTCGACAGTGTATTGATTAGACCTTTTTATCATTTTTCAGCAAGGAAAAATAAAAAATGATAATAAAAAATAAACCACAAACTAGAAATGATAGTAAAGGCATTCCACCTGATCAATTGCACAAGGAATCAAGCAACGGAGATCATCTTTGCCAGAGAAAAGATGTGGGAATGAGCTAGGAAATGATGGAACGGCCTGCACTGATATAAAACAAACGATAAAGCTGACTGACTGAGAACAAGAGATACAGGAAATAATAATGGTAAGAAAACTGTATATCAGGAAAAGGCAACCTTAGGATGTACATCCA